TTTAAGCGACGCCGGTCCTCCCCGGGACTCGTTTTTGAAAAAGTAGCGCAGCGCGCCGGCTATAAATTTAGCGGGGAACGCGAATAAGATCCAAACGGGGAGGTCGATACGCCCCAAAATGCCTAAAACTCGAATTTTCGAAAAAAACGGCAAAAAGCGCGGGCGACGGCGGCGCTCGGTTCGCACGTGATATCCGCCGCGGAGGGCCCGCAGGGAAAAAAGTACGGCGGACTTATAATAGTAAATTTAGCGAGGAATGCGAATAAGGTCCAAACGGGGCCGCCCGAGGCCCCGAGGGGAGTAAGAGTCGAACATTTTCGAAAAAAATCGTGAAAAGTTATAAGGAGGAGTGATAACGCATCGACGGCTACGCAAAGAACGACGCGACGCATGTATTTATGCCTGTATATAGCGATACATACACGGTACCTACTCACGTTTCCGTTCACGTTTAACCTCCCCTGGACTCGTTTTTGAAAAAGTAAGGACGTGCGCCGGCTATAAATTTAGCGAGGAACTCGAATACGTCGCCGACGGGGTGGTCGGGAGACTCGTAGAGGTGCCAAACGCGACTCTAGTCGAAAAAGTCGAGAAAACCGTCGAAACGGCGAAGCGGCGCTCTCGGCGATCGATTCGTCCGCCGGGATACCCGTTTTTGAAAAAATATGGCAGCGCGCCGACTATAAATTTAGGGGGGAACGCGAATAAGATCCAAACCGGGAGGTCGATACCCCCTAAAACGCCTAAAACTCGAATTTTCGAAAAAAACGGCAAAAAGCGCGGGCGACGGCGGCGCTCGGTTCGCACGTGATATCCGCCGCGGAGGGCACGCAGAGAAAAGAGTACGGCGTACTCGTAATAGTAAATCTAGCGGGGAACGCGAATAAGGTCCGAACGGGACCGCCCGAGGCCCCCGGGAGGGGTAAAACACAAAAAATTTGAAAAAAAATCGTGAATTTCGAGAAAAATCGTGAAAAGCGATAAGGAGCAGTGATAACGCAGCGACGGCTCCGCCGCCGCCGGGAGACCGCCCTCCGGGGAAATTAAATTTTCTCATTGGCTCTCTCTTACGATTTAACGCATAGGGAGCGCCACACGGGTTTTCGTTTTATATAGTAAGACTAGCTCTCCGAGCGTCACTGGGGGATACCCCCAGACCCCCGGGTGTCGGTCATGAGTGTTTTCGATTTCGGAAGATGCAGTGGTCTGTTGGTCTGGTCGTCAGTCTCGAGCTGGTCGGTGTGTGATAAGGAACTCTGATAAGGTTAGGTCCACCGTGGTTTGGCGTGGTAGCCCCCCCCGGTAAGCAACAACGTTCGACGACAACGTTCTTTACTGCCGCCGGAAATTCAAAATTCCGTAAAAAAATTATAAATCGTCGTTGTATTTTTGTGGGTGTCTAGCAGGTCAGTCACCTCGAATGACGTTCGCCGTAGTAATAGTATTTGGGGTCTAGCGGGTCAGTCACCTTCCTCGACTTTGGTCGTAGTCACCCTGGAAGGCAATCCGACAATACTCGACGGCTGGGGAACGTCATCACGTATGCAATCCGACTGCGTCGAATCGCGGATGACGTTCATTACTGTTACCGAAAAAGCAAAAAAAGTAATAAATTAGTGAAAAGTATTTAAAAAATTTCGGACGTCCATGCAAATCATATAGCCGCCGTCGCCAGTCGCCAGTCGCCAGTCTCGAGCTGGACAGTTAATGGGTGGTATGAAGGTCTAGTGATAAGGATTTGTGGTATAAATTAGTGATGAGGAAACTGGATTTGTGATAAGGATAGTGGATTATTGATAAGGATTGTAGATAAGTGATAAGCATGGTGGATTTGTGATAACAATTTATGATAAGGATATTGGATTTGTGATAAGAAAAGTGGATGTGTGATAAGGATGGAGGATTCGTGATAAGGATAGTGGTTTAGTTAACCGGATACCTGTCAAAGTCTTTTCTTGGGGGTCTAGCATGTCAGTCACCTTCCTCGATGTTGGACGTAGTCACCCGGGTAGACAACGTGACAACCGATTCGATGCATCGGTTATATAATTTATGTGAAAACATGTTTTGGGGTCTAGCAGGTTAGTCACCTTCCTCTACGTTGGTCGTAGTCACCTTGGTAAATATGCGATTGCTGATGAACATCATCAAGTATTACAGCGTCCATTACTGTTAACGAAAATGCAAAATTAAAGAATAAATTACTTGAAAAAAAATTGTTATCCGGGTAGGCAATCCGACTCGATGTGAGACGTAGTCACGGTAGACAACGTGACGACGTGTGACAGCCGGTTCGAGGATTGGGTGTATAATTTACGTGAAAATATGTTTTGGAGTCTAGCAGGTCAGTCACCTTCCTCTACGTATGTCGTAGTCACCCTGGTAGGCAATCCGACTTCGTCGGATAGCGGATAATGTGCGACGGCTGATGAACGTCATCAAGTTCATTACTGTTACCGAAAACGCAAAAATAAAGAAGAAATATTTCGGGCGTCCATGCATATCATATAGCCACCGCCTTTTTTTGGGTGTCTAGCAGGTCAGTCATCTATGTTATCCGGTAGTCAATCCGACCCCGTCGGATAGCGGACAATGTGCGAAGGCGGGGGCACGTTCATTACTGTTACCAAAAACGCAAAAATAAAGAAGAAAAAAAAAATAAAAAAAATAATAAAATAATAAAATAAAAAAATAAAATAATAATAATAATAAATAAAATAATAAAATAAAATCATTTGAGGGGGGCTGTATTGAAGCCTGTATGTTATAGTAAAAGCGACACGACGCACGACGGCGGCGTTCTCCGAGGTGTCGATCGACTTGATGTTGGTCGTAGTCACCCGGGTAGACAACTTGACGATGTGTGACGGCCGGTTCGAGGGAATCGTGCCGCCGTGATCTGTTGAGTGTCTAGCAAGTCAGTCACCACCTTGATTGATGATAACATCGTTAAATGCGTAAGCAATCCGACTAAACGTCAGATAAAAGATCCACCACTCCGAAGCCGGGTCGAAAATGAAAATAGTATTTTTACCGTGCCCAAAAATTACTGATAAGGCCCGTAATAACTTACGAATAAATGAAGGTGTCCTGAAATAATAGCATACTGTATTTCCATCAAGAATTTCAGCGTTGCATTGCCGAAGGCGCAACGATATGGAAACGGAACTCGGTCAGCTGGTTGTGGTTTTGATTCCACGCACCAACATGGCGTTAGAACCAATGTCTCCCGTATTATGTCAACGAACACTAACACAACTAATACGAATGCGGATATAAAAAAGTTATAGGTATTCAAAGTACATTTGCGGTGTACGGAAAAAACACGAAACGCGCCATGATGTCTGTAGCTGGTGCAAACATATAGAATCAGTAGTTACTAGTTTATCTGAATATTATATAGTAGTAGATATTATTATAGAAGTTGTACTCACCGGGTATGTGAAAAGCGCCCAAAAGACAACAAAACTCAAAGAAAAACACTGAATGTTAAATAACACGAAACGTATTTGGCTTTTCCGTGAGAGTCGATGTGCGTTGTACGAGCGCCGATCACAAGAGGCAGGTCGAAACGGGCGCGCTTCGCGTCGACAAAGTTTCCCCCCCCCCGCACTCACTCCATCCCACTCCGCGGCCCACTCGCATAATGTCGCGTATATTAACGGGCATATTATGTAGACAGTATCGTATAGTTTAGTCATATCATTATACAATTTACCTGCCAGAATTTAATTAAATACATTAAGTTATATTTTGTTTATTGATATACCTACATAATTTGACTCACCTAAAAACTGTAAAAGTACCTACTACATAGTATATTATATACCATTGGAGTACCTGTGCCCAACTACTTTTTTTACTAATTTTATTTCACTATCAATTCATCTACTTACTATATAGGTACCAATAATATGTTAACTGAAATCATTTTTATAATATTATGTGTAGGTACTTTATTTATATTTTTGGCCCAATGAACGAAAATGTATACTAATATCACTATTAATTCATGTACATACATATAATATGCTTAAATTATATAACTATACTATTATGTATATACATAGGTACATCTATAAAATACATTAGTCATATTATGTAGGTACATAATATATATATCAATTTATTATTCATAAATTATTACATTTGATATTAAATAAATAAATAAATATACGTGATAGACCATAGACCTATATTATATTGAGTAATATCAAATTATGTCATATCATTATACAATTGAACCATCAGAGTATTATATACTATTTGAAAAATATAGGTGCGTTGTTCATGGTAAATGTGTCAAGTATTAACTAAATACTTATTATAAATGAATATTTATTAAATACTTATAGTATAGTCATATGATATGACTAAATTCATATAATTCATATTTTTAATATCACCTAAAAATTTAGTACCTACTACATAGTATATTATATATATATATATATTTATAATTTGTTATTATATACTTAGAAGTGAAATCCTCTGTTTCCAATACTTAGTTACTCTCTATTAGTCCATCAATGTTATGTACCTACTCATGGAGTACTAACCTATGACCAACTACCTTATTTACCAATTTCACTATTACTTCTTCTAATTAAATTTTTACATATTACAATATTCCCAGTTCATATATTATAACACTATACCGTTTAACACACAATGCAAACTATTAGAAAAAGACATATTTTATATACCAACCAATACCAACCAATACCAATGATATAATTAATAGTAAATAGTAGGTACTTCATTTAAACTTTTAGACCAAGGGTGCCCAATTTATTTTGGAAGCGGGCTATAATTGCAATTACATTTAGCTGGCGGGCCATGTTATGAACAAGACTTGCTTAGGTACACTTATAGTTCATCTAAAATTCTATTTTCAATAGATACTTAATTAGATAGGACAGATAGGTATTTAAATTAAAAAAACTTTTTAAATTTCACATGTTTTAATTTTCATTTTTAATAATATTTAAAAAAAAACATCAGTGAGATCTATGAAGAGACTTATTAGCTAATAATTTTTCAATATCTGGTGATAAATCTGATGTTGATAACAACATCAAATCTGAAATATGAGGCGCAGTTAACGAACTACGATATTTATTTTTGATATAGGTTAGAGTAGAAAAAGCTTTTTCGCAAATATATGTTGATCCAAATCTGCTTGAAATCTGCAAGGCAAGATCACACATTGCAGGAAAGTCTTCTTTTGGTACTAATTTCCAAAATTTTATTAAATTTTCTGAAGACTGCAGCTGTGGTTGTGATGATACAATTTCGGTAAATATCTGCTTCAAGGAAACGTGGTTTTGAATTTCTGTGATTTCCAACTGGATATTGCATGAATATTTTTGTATTTCACTAAATGTGATTGAAAATGGGTTCATGAAAAACAAAATGTTATTTTTGTCCTTCTCAAAATCCTGAAATCTATTCTCAAAAGACTGCAACAATAATTGAATTTGTGTTTGGTATTTCGAGATGTCAGGCGAAGTATTTTCTAGTTTTCTTCTTATATCTACAAGCGTAGGAAAATGGTCGATATTATTTCTAGTCAAATTCGTCAAAAAAAGGGAGAGTTTCGCTTTAAATCCGTAAACCAAATTGAACATTATTGGTAACGAACAGTCCTTCCCTTGCAGCTTTCGGTTAAGTATGTTGAGGTGCTGTGTAATATCTATTAAAAACGCAAGATCGCATAACCATGATTCACTTTCCAGTAAATCTCGCTCATCAGGCATTGCCTGCTTTTCTACTAAAAATTGCAAGACCTCTCTCCTCAAAAGAAAAAAATGTTTCAGCATTTCACCCTTAGATAACCAGCGGACAGCACAATACAAATGTAACTCACCGAGTTCATTGATTTCTTCTTCAAACAAAACCCTGAATTGTCTTCGATGGAGCGCTTTGGCTCGGATATAATTAATACAGCGTACTACAGGATCAATAACATCATTAAACTTCATATCTTTGGCACATAAAGCTTCCTGATGGATGATACAATGGTATGAAAATAATTCCCGGCCTAAGAACTGTTTTAACAAGGCTACACAACCATTTATTTTTCCCGTCATAGCGGGTGCTCCATCAGTACAAACAGAATTAATTTTTTCCCACGGTATACCTTTTCTGTCGACACATTCCTTGATTTTCATAAATATGTCTCTTCCGGTACTTGTAGTTTCCAACTGGCTGAGCTCTAATAAATCTTGAAATACATTAAAATCTTCATCAACACACCTCACGAAGATAGCTAGCTGTGACATACTCGTCAAATCACAAGTTTCATCCAACGCCAATGAAAAATATTTACATTTCGTTACTGTTTGTGTTATTTGGTTGCTAATATCGTTTGACATCTCCTCTACTCGTCTTGTTACAGTATTTCTCGAAAGTGAAATACCGTCTGCTTTAGTTTTTACATTTTTATCATTACAGTTTTTAGAAAAAATTGATAAAGCCTCTTTAATAATTTCCCCATCAGAAAAAGGCTTTTTATTTTTGGCTAAAAGTAAAGATATCTCATATGATGTTTTTACCATAGATTCGAGTTCATCAAATTTTTTTACAAACAAATTCTGCTGACCAAATATTTCTTTTTTTTCTTCTTTATAAACTCAGCTCTTAGAGAACTTCCTTCCGGGTAATTTTTATTAATACTTGAATGATTTTGTTTAAAATGCCGTTCTAAATTATATTTTTTGGCGACGGCAATCGTGGTAGAGCAAATAAGACATATGGGCTTCAATGCTTTGCTTTCAGTAAAGCAATATTGCATCTCCCATTCTTCGTGAAATGTCCGAGAACGTTCTTTCAATTTCGACGTAATTGGTTTACTGAGAGCCATTTTGGCTTAAAATTCACAAGTAAAAACACAGAATAAACGCAATTATTACAAAATAATTTAATATTTATTAAGTTATACGTATTATTATTACGACCGTAGCAAAAGGCGGGTGCGAAGCGACTGATTTTGGTCTCTATTTGTACAATACTTCGAATAACAATTTATTATCTAAACTCGCCGATATACGACGACTACGTCGACGGACGGTCACGATAATCTATAAACATAAAAATAATACCGATTAACATCGCGACAAATGCGGGTTAGGGTAAAACGCATCCGGTCGTCACCGAAAAACCCGATAACATTGCCGTTTGGAATGGTCCTAGTGCTAATTTGATACACACACATATATAAAATAAAAAAATAAAATAAAATAAAAAATATACAACAAAATTTAAACTTTAAAGAAATATTAATAATAATTTAAAATGCTATAGAAGTATAGAGTATAGATGTTGGCGGGCAAATCCAAAAGCGTTGACGGGCCACGATGGGGCCCACGGGCCTGGGTTTGGGCACCCTTGTTTTAGACCAATGGACCAAAATATGTACTGATTTCACTTTGTACTAGCGATACCCAAAATGTACCTACTCGGTACGTACTCTCGTTTCCGCGACGACGCTCCTCCCCGGGACTCGTTTTTGAAAAAGTATGACAGCTCGCCGACTACAAATTTAGCGAGGAACGCGAATAAGACGCAAACGGGGAGACCCGAGGCCCCCGAGGGGGGTAAAATTCGAGATTCGGTGGGATTCGCGAAAAAAATCGGACGTCGAGACGCATGTATTTATGCCTGTATATAGCACACACACGACGTACCCACTCGGTACCTACTCACGTTTGCGCGTCGCCGCTCCTCCCCGGGACTCGTTTTTGAAAAAGTAGGACTGCGGGCCGGCTATAAATTTAGCGGGGAACTCGAATACGTCTTCGGCGGGGAGGTGAAAAGTCTACAAACGAAGCGAAACGCGACTCTGTTGGAAAAAGTCGGAAAAACCGTCGAAATCGTGACGACGCCGCGGCGTCGGCGACTGTCTAGTCGGATGAGGGGACTCATTTTTGAAAAAGTAGGATAGCGCGCCGGCTACAAATATAGCGAGGAGCGCGAATATAACGCAAACGGGGACGCCCGGGGCCCCCGAGGGGGGTAAAACTCGATATTTCGAAAAACGCGCGCGACGGCGGCGCTCGTATCGCTCGCGAGATCGGCCGCCGCGGGCCCTCCGGGAAGAAAATACGGACGCGCGCGGCCTGTAAATCTAGCGGGGAACGCGAATAAGGTCACAGCGGGGAGACCCCGGGCCCCCCGAGGGGGTAAAATTCGAAAAACTCGAAAAATTTCGAAAAATTTCGAAAAAATCGAAAAAATCTCGAAACAGTGATAAGAAGGGCTGATTACGCAGCGACGGCTCCGCCGCCGCCGGAAGACCGCACTCCGGGGGAAATTGAATTTTCTCATTGGCTCTCTCTTACGATGGTTCGGATGTAACGCATTGGGGGCGCCCTCGGTTTCTTGCTTTATAGTATAGAGATAGAGAAGAGACAAGCTCTCCGAGCGTCGCTGGGGGACACCCCCAGACCCCCGTGACCGGGCCCCTTGTGTTGTCGATTTCGGAAGCAGCGGTGGTCTCATGGTGCGGTCGTGGGTCTCAGCCGACACGGTGTATGGGTGATGAGGAGGTATGGTGATAAGGCTAGGACCACTGTGGTTCGACGTGGTAGCCCGTAGTAGCCCGTGGTAGCCAGGGCAGAATCTTTTCGACAACGCCGCCAGAAATTCGAAATTTGGTAAAAAAATAATATAGTAATTTTTGTGGATGTCTAGCAGTTCGGTCACCTAGAATGACGTTCGCCGTAGTAATAGTATTTGGGGTCTAGCGGGTCAGTCACGTTCCTCGACTTTGGTCGTAGTCACCCTTTAAGACAATATTCGACGGTTGGGGCACGTCATCACGTATGCAATCCGACTGCGTCGAATCGCGGACGACGTTCATTACTGTTACCGAAAAAGCAAAAAAAGTAATAAATTACTTGAAAAGTATTTAAAAAATTTCGGACGTCCATGCAAATCATATAGCCGCCGTATTTTTTAGGGTGTCTAGCAGGTCAGTCACCTCGAATGACATTCGCTATAATAATAGGAGTAGGCTATCCGACTTGGACGCATAGCGGACAATGTGCGACGGCCGGGTCACGACATCACGTATGCAATCCGACTGCGTCGAAACGCGGACGACGTTCATTACTGTTACCGAAAACGCAAAATTAAAGGATAATTTACGTGATGAAAATTCAAAATATTTCGGTTGTCCATTCAAATCATATAGCCACCGTCTGATTTTTGGTGTCTAGCAGGTCAGTCATCTATGTTATCCGGGTAGGCAATGTGCGGCCGGGACAGCGTCCATTGCAGTCACCGACAACGCAAAATTAAGTAATGAAATACGTGAAAAAAAATTGAAAACATTTCGTAAGCAATCCGACTACCGAGTCGCCTTCCTCGACGTAATTACGCGAAAATATGTTTTGGGGTCTAGCAGGATCTAGGGTCTAGCGTCGGATAGCGGACAACGTGTGACTTCTGACGCAAAATTAAGTAATAGGTCTCGTGCAAAAAAATTGGTATATGTTTTGGTGTCTAGCAGGTCAGTCACGGCGGCCGTGCTACCTATCTACCTACCTACTGAGTTCAGAACGCGATATTCGAGAAAAAAAAGGAACCTTCGACGCATGCATTTCGATGCCTGTATATAGTAACACCTACTCGACGGTGGTCGAGTAAATGTAGAGGGGAACGCGAATAAGTCATCAACTGGGATTGCAGAAGTGTCGAAAAGGGCTAAAACTGGAATTTTAGAAAAAAACGACGCGACGCATATATTTAGCGTTACCTACTCTCGTTTCCGCCCCGGGACTCGTATCTGCAAAAGTACGGCCACTATAGTAAATTTAGCGGGGAACGCGAATCAGATCCAAACGGGGAGGGCGATACGACCGAAACGGGCTAAAACTCGAATTTTTGAAAAAAACTGCAAAAATAAGAAAATCGAACTCTTCGACGCATATATTCACGCCCGTGTATAGTAATAAATAGTATCAAGGACTGCTTTGACGGTTAACGCGAATAAGTCCTCGAAGTCCGTAGAGGCGGTAAAATTCGAATTTTAAAAAAAAACCGAACATTTTCGTTAAATACGATAAGACGGAAGTGATAGCGAAACGACGAAAAAAAAAAAGTGAAAAAAAAATTCAGATTTAACACGGCCGCCGCAAATTATCGAAAATCCCGGGGGCCGGGTTCGAAACCACAACCCTCGAGTCACCTGTCCTAACGCCTAACCAACCTACACTGAAAGAAATATGATAAAAATAATTAACAAAAGGGTTGAGTTAAATGAAACATAGTAGGCATAACTAGAATATTGCTAAACAGATCGAACAGTACACTTGGTATAACTAAGTAATCTGTGATACGTTCAAATGTAATTTTGTTAATTGCACTTTAGTTACGATTACAAGTTGTTTTGTAATTGATGCAACTTGGATTGTGCATACTACAATTAAATGCTTTTACCAGAATATTTGGTGTCTCTGACAAATCATATTTGTTGGTATAGTTGAATACTCTGTAAAAATTACCAAGTAGAAATTGTTATTTATAACCAAAGTACACAATGGGTTTACAACAAAGCGTATAGTTAGAGCAACAAATATTAAGAGAAAACAACTCTATATTTAGTACGCGTCATTGGTATTTTGGTTGGTTTTACCATTATGATAACTGATGATTACAAGAAGTTCTGTAAACATAACAAGATATAAAAGTAATGTTTTGTTAGAACTACGGATTTATCCAGTAACCAGTACAGTTTTTAATGTGAATCAGTATTCGGTGTATGTCAATTCGTGACTCGTGTCTCGTATTCATTTCGCGTTCTGACTTTATACATTACACCCATTGTACGTACTTGTTTTTAAAATGGCAGATGAAGACGTAAAAGATTTTTTAACAGCATGGGACCTACAGCAGTACATTGCTATATTTGAAGGTAAGTTTCATTTTATAATTATTTAGGTAAAGGTAATGGCGGTTTAAAATGAATTTAAAAGAAGTGCTAATGCTGTCTGCTTATTAGTTATTTAGCTTTTGCCAGGTATTAATAAATCACTAAATGCAAGAAGGGCCCTGTCCATAATTTTGATGAATCACATTTTTGTCTAGATTCGCTAAATACCTCGTGTACAAGCGAGTCACATATCCTATTTACAGGTACATTGCTTAATGTAAAAACGGCGGGTGTTCAGTGGTAGTCCATTTAAATAGATATAAATTTGACCAGGTAGTCTCCATAACCTATATCATACGTCTTATAATTAAACAGTTACCAATCAAAATATTAAATTAAATTTACTAAAGAAATTACATATTATTTTTAATTGAATAATAAGTATTATATAATGATGTTTTATTTTAAAATGACATTTTTGGCGGTTATGGTCTTCATAAAATAGGCCGATGTAAGGCTGTGTGTGTTGTGTGAATGAATATGAATACATATTATTAAATATTTGATTTTAAGTACCATGTAAAATACATTTACCCTTACGGCCTCCCCCCTAAATTACCACTATAGTTTGTCAGTGTAACACTGTACTGTATTAACTGTGACAGTTAACTATAGTTGGAAATGGCTAAATAATTTTAAAAACTGAATATGTTCTTAAATTTTGTATTTAAATAACCATTTTAAATTATATACCTAGCTGTAATGATTGAAATGTATAGAAACCAAATTTACTCAAAAATTAATTAATTTAATTTAATAAACAGGCAACAGCTGGCTTATGATGACATAAATGATCCCCTGTTAAATAAAATAATTACTTATTTAAAAATGTTAATTAATTTTTGTATATAGAAAATGACATAGACATAAGAAATCTTCCCTTGTTAAAAGAAGAAATGATCAGAGAACTTATACCGTCCGTTGGTCAT